TAGCACCTTAAGAATCCTATTTAAAACAAAAACAACATTCTGTATTTCTGCTGAACATAAATCAGACATTGAGTATAACCTCTCTGCTAAATAACAGCACTCAAATCAACCATTTCAAAGAAGAATAAAACCACACTTAAAGGCAAGGAAACACATTCATATAGACTGCCATTGGTGTATATGATTGGGCTGAGCAAAGAAGCAGCAAGTACGTGGTAAGAATGTTCTATGTCCAAACACCATATTTATATATTTATTTTATTTTACTTCTATACCACCCAATAGCCCATTTTTCCTGAAGTTTACAGTAGTACAATAGTTTACAATATTTTACAGCATCAAGACAAACTGTTAATTTCCAGATCTGTTACAGAGTTAGCATGCAACACAGAGTCATGAGTCTGTAATTTACAATAAAGTAAATAAACCACTATTTAAATAAACCAGTTTATTTAAATCAACCACTAAATAAACTGCATGATACCTTCCAAAATAAACTACAGCTGATATTACTGGTAGTGGAGGGTCAGGACAGCAATTCTGTCATATACTCTCCTATAAAATTTCTCTGCCTTTAAGCCCACTGTCTCTGGACAGTTTGAGTGGCATGATCAACCATGACATACCAATTGTTCCACTCCTGGTTTAGTCTGGGAACGTATGTTTAAAGTTGCTCCTTGTCCAGCCACTAAGGACTAGCTGAAACAAGACCAGGAAGAGATGATAGTAGTCCATGATGATGGTGACCATGAGCTATTGGTATGAAAAATCAGAGTAAAGCTAAGAAATATCACTAATGGAAGCATAATGCAAAAATACAACTTTTTACTTGGGGAATTTAAAGTCTACAGAAAGAACAGATTTGCATTACTGAATTCAGCTGACTGTGAACTAGAACTGTGGACTATGAGCACATTATCAAGGAAGAGTGCAAAAAGTCAATTCCTGTAGCTCCCCAGGGAGCTTTCCCTGGTGCCAACATCACCATCTTTTCAGTGCCAGGTTTACACTTTACTACTAGGCATTTAACAGCATCTAATGGGCATTTTAAAATTAATTTAGTCCTTGGTTTTTAATCTGGTCCTTGTGGATTTATTGCTAATTGTTTAACATAAAAAGTTTAATATTTCAAATAAAGATTTTCTGTTATGTCTATTTTATAAACCATACAGGGAGCTTTAGCTATTGGGAATGAATGAATATATAGGATTGCCTTGCTTTGGCTGACAGCAAGTTCAGTGTTGACCCACAAGAACTGGAGACAGAAAACCTAGTCTTTCATCTGTTTGCTGAATTTTCTTCCCTGCAATCTACAAAATATGGTAGCAATATTTTAGCAACCCTGTTTCTTAGAAATGTAGCAAGATCAGAAACTTGTATATAAAATAATTAGTTACTTTTCAATACTTTTATAAAAGGTTTGTTTCAAGTTACCATTTGTGATATCAGTCTTTTTTTTTTTTTTTACTTTTCCTTTCCTCTGAACAGCAATGCCAAAAGAAGAATTTAATTCCAAGTTACATTTCTAGTATTTTTAATATTGGGTTGTCCTATAAAAGATACTGGCTCAATTACTTTATACATTTTATTCAGAGTGGCAATTCTTGATTTTGTCCCTTCCTTTATGGAAGTTTTCCCCCATGTATTCCACAATGACTCAGTCTTTGAACACTTGTGAAAAACATAGACTTCCAAGTAGCATGGAAGAACTGAACATGCATTGCAGAATTTATATTTCTGACTTCAAATATAATTTCGTGGTTTTTAAAGAACTTAACATTGTTTCCTGTCTCAACCTGCACAAATACCAATTAATTGAGCTGTTGAAAGATGCTGTTAAAGCTGTCCAGTTTTTCTGAAAAGTGTGTCAACATTCTGACCAGATAGCAAGGCCAGGGATCTGCAGGGATTATATGTTCAGCAATGAGCACGCTGCTTGCTGCATCCCAAGAACAGTGGATGTGGTTCTCAAGAGTTAAAGCAAGTGAGCTTCTTAAGTTCAGAATATATTGTATATCATCCAGGAATTGAAATGCTGCTTGCTCAGAAAACAAGGGTGAGAAACAGCTAGGTGTGCTACAGCAGTCTTTCCCCTAGCCATGGGCTCTTCCAAACAAACAACCGGAAATTGCTGTTAAGGCCATGGAGGCTCTTCAGTGGAATTCAGCCATAGTCTCAGTTAATCCTTGGGAGTCTTTACTGGCAGTTGCTCAGCGCAAGTGTTCAATGAGAAATAAAAATCTGCAAACCTATAGCCTACTTTTCCTGTTTGTGTTTTGCCAAAAGGTTTAGTGATCTTACATTCCAATGAACAGTGTATGGGAGCGGGCAGGTTTGAACAATATACAGTTTACAGTACAATCCTCTTGTTACTAGATAGCAGGTAGGCAACCTGACAGATAGCAGGGAGTTGCTACCATATTTTGTAGATGGTAGAGAAGAAAATTCAGCAAACAGATGAAATACCCATGTATGGCATTTTTCTATCTCCAGTTCTTGGTGGAGCAACAGTGAACTTGCTGCCAGCCCAAAGCAAGACAAATCCTATATATTCATTTGTTCATACTTTCCATTTCTATACCATCCAATAGCTAAAACTCCCTGGAGGGTTTACAAAACAGACATAACATAAAGCCTTTAAGATTAAAAGTTTAATAGTTCAAATAGTTAAACAATTAACAATAAATCCAGAAGAACAAGTTTAAAAACCTAACTTTAGGAGGCCCATTGGATACTGTCAAATGCCTGTCAGTAAAGTCTAAACCCAGCACTGAAAAGATGGCAATGTTGGCACCAGAGTGAACTTACTAGGAAGTTTGTCACTTTTGAGAAGACCCTCTCCCTTTCTGACATCCTTTGAAACTCAATTGGAGGAAACATTCAGATGAGGGCATCAGATGTTAATGGCAATGTACATGTAAGTCCATACTGGGAGAACTGCTACGTCAGGTATGTGTCCCAAGTTGTATGTATGTATGTATGTATTTATTTAGGAGACTTCTATGCCGCCCCATTCGCCAAAGCCTCGGGGCGGCTCACATCCATTTTCTATCTTCATATCATAGAAAAATGGAAAATGTGAAGCAAGATGCTGGAGCATGTTGCAATATCATTACATGTCACAATGCAATATTTATACAAGTACTGCATTGTATAAATATACTTACAACCCCTTTTTTCTATTTATGTATTTGCGACATAAAACAACATGCATATGAAAAACTCATGGCCAATCTGGCTCAAGTTTAAATGGAACCAGCAATTCATATTTACACATTTATTCTTACTTGCTACTTGGATTAACCCTTAATCATTCCTAGCAGGGGAAGCTATTTCACACAAATGTCGCTCTACCAGTCAGTTCGCTAGTTCTGTATTTCAAGAATTCAACACAGTCAAGATGTTATATTAGTCCAGGTGAAAATAAGTCCAGATAGGCAATATGAAGCTAGATTACATGGATACCTAGTGGTTAGCAAGATACCATATTGCAATTTCCTAGGAATAAAATCCTTTATCTCAGCTCTTAGGCTTGGACTTATACCTGTTCACTTCTCTGGCTAGGTTCTTGTCCCTCAGCTGTATCACATCAGAGCTCTCACATGATCATGCAGCAACCTGGCCTCAACACAGGCTGGGCTGTGTGTCTATCCTGACAGTTAAACTCACATACACTCTATTTCCATATGACTCAAAACATCACCTTTGCTGAAATCTAACACAAAAAATAAACAGTTGATAAAAATAGGATAAACTTAATAACTGAGGCTGATGAATAGATAAGCTAAAGAGGTGAGGCTAGATGAGGTGAAGTAGATGGATAAAATGAAAAAACAACACAACTCCAGGCCTGTGGGTTGTGTCCATAACAGTGACAGAGAACCAAGCTGGAGTGAGGCTTCTTTCATACTGAGGAAGAACTGAAATAAACTGGATAGACATTCTTCCTAATGGTATCTCAGGCACCAAGGCCTGATCAATTTCTAACAAGTACATAGAGCAGCTAAGCGGCTACAAATAAAAAGCCTAAGGGGCAACATAACAAAATGGCACAACGCCCATTGAGGTAACATCTGCTATGAGGTTTTCCCACTTCATGATCTTGCAGTCACTGGGAGGTACAAAAAAAGCATTCAGTGGTGCTAGCTTCCCTTGTTGGTAAGAGATAACCAGGGATTTCACAATTCTGTCATTTTTTCTCAATTCTTTACATTCACAAAACATTACAGTATTATGTGTATACATCTATAGAAACAAACTCTTGCAAACACCAGATTGCTTACTTTTGTAGCCAAGTGCATAAGTCCCCAATTTGTTTGTGTATCTAGACTTCAGATGCTTGGCTGCATGACTATTTGGCAGCCTCTCTCCTGGGATGACCTGTCTCTATGAATGACCACAGCGATCCCCATTGCTTCATTCAAATTAATTAAAAACTTGTGAACAATCACATCGTTGTGCTCCGAAACCATAGAGAAAAAGGCTAAAGCAGCCCAATGTCCACCATAGGAGTAAAAGCCCTGGAATTGCAGAAACTACCTCAGGCAAAGTGTTTTCAAGCAATTAAAACTAGGGAAATGCTTCTGCAGTTTCTATCAGTTCTGATGATATCTGGACAAGCTTAACAAGCCCGTTAAATTGAAGGGAGCTTTCTCCTGAGCAGAGCTGTGTGGGACAGCTCAGCAGAGGGCTCAAGCCAGCAGAGGAAGGAAGCAAGTGAGCAAAGCAGAGCAGGCGAGCCCGCCGCCCCACTTCCTCTAGCACGGAGCCTCCCCGAGTGGAGGACCAAGCCTGAGGGCAGCCTATTGCCTTGAAGAGGCGGGCCTAACTCCATGCACCGGAGGGAGAGGCGGGGGTGTTCAGACGTCAGGACTGGCGCTTTGCAACCGTAGGGAGAGGTCGTGTGGGCTCAAGGGAGCGAACCGGGCGTAGGAGGAGGAGAAAAGGGCGCGCGAGGATGGATAGACCGACTAGTTGCGACGGAAGCGCGTCCGACTTACCCGCGGAGCCTCCGGCCAGAATCTGGTGGGATGCCTCGTGCCAAAACGGCCTCGGTTTTCCGGCCATGGTCGCCTGCAGGCGGAGCGGGCGGTGAAACGTGCGTTGCTTCTGCTGCAAGAGGAGAGGCAGCGGGCTGGGAGCGCCTCCTTTTAGCGCGCGGGAGAGACGAGGCCGGGAGTCCCCTGGGCTCGGAAATAGCGACTGGGCGGGAAAAAGAAGGGTGTGTGGGGTGGGGGGAGGAGGGACAAGACGCGGGCTTATCAGAGGACAGCCTTCCCTCACTCCCTTCCCAAAGTTGTGCGGGCTGTAACCTTTAGACCGCTTGGCTGGGACCCAAGCCAGGGAGTCCACCAGTTCAATGCCCGGAGCGTGCGAGGAGAGGCTGGCATTTCCCTCCGGAACGTCGCAAGAGAAGCGGAACCAGTCGAGCATCGCCGCCAGGCAGCGGCCCGGAGCTCCTTCCGGGCAGCGAGAAACGTGGCCCTACAGCAAGTGCCCGTCATACTAATTTAAAGAAGGGCAGGGCTCCCGCTTCTCCTCCCCGTACGGCCCTGGTTTGCACAGTAAGTCTCGTCTGCTGCAGCCCTTCTATGGGCTATCCAGGATACCCCCCTTTCACGGCTCTTTCTTGAACCTAACTGCCCCCGCCAGGACTTGTGGAGCAGAAGTGGACCAGGGAAGGGAGTGGAGCAGGCGTCATAGTAACAGGTGGAAAAGTGGCTGTACCCACAACAAAACACTGCTGAGCGCTCTGTATGTTGAAATGAAAAGTATTTTGAAGCGGATTGGTCTTGAATTAGCTTTACAAAAGATACAGGTGATGCACACAGAGAGGGAAAGATCAGGATCAACGCAGCTGCCTGTATTTTTGGACCTTCTGGCATATTTTACCAAGGCTTGAGAAAAGTTCATAAGCCATAGTGGCTTATTCGCACAAAGCTGCATGTTTCGCTGCTGAACCCAGCTGAGTGTGACTTGTCATTCATTACATGTGATCGTGGCTGACAAACCACTCAGAGGCCGTACATCTGTGTTGTACATCCACCCTGTATTTTTGCCACTCATGGACAGTTCCAGGCAGGAATTTCCTGCCCCCAGTTCAAAATACCTGCAAAACATGTGCTGTGCCCTGATTTTCAGATCACCCAATTCTTGTATGTTTAAATAGGACAATAAGAAGGTACTGTGCCTGCATGGTGGTTCTTGCACATTTGACAACATTGCCTATGAAAGGTCTCCAGGTATAGCTTGTGCAATAAGAATGTCTGGTGTGACTTGATAACAAAATCGCAATCAGTTCTGAAACTTACAGGTGGCTTCAGGCCAGTTGTTACCTCTTGACTTAATCTCACAGGATTGTCATGATCCAAAAATATGGTGCAAGCCATGCAAGTTCCGAGTTCCTCCAAGGAATGCTGAATAATAAATAGAATAGCCTGTGCACATTCATTAGTAGCAACTTGGACCAAAGAGACCTGGCTTCTCAGCCTTCAAATCAATGGGGTGACCAATCACCACCTTTGTTTCTTTTTATTACATTTATATTGCCCTTTTTTCTTTTTTAAAGAACTCAACACATTCTGCTGTTCTCAGTCATATCCATAACGACCCTGTCAGGTAGGCTGGACTGAAGGTCTGTGACTGGTCCAAAGTCAGCCAGTTAGCTCCATGGCTGAATGGGGACCAGAACTGCAACTCTTCTCAGAGGGCTACTGTGAGGATAAAATGGCCATGGGGCAATAGGAGTATTTAAAGAATGGACATTAAGGATATTTTACTAAATTGCTGGTTTAAAAATTACTTTGATGTATTTATCTTATTCTTACCTTTCCTTACCAAAGTAATATTGAAGTGGTAGTTCTAGTTTAAATTATATAATGGTATTGTATAATGTTTTATTTACGAGACAGTACATGAAAATCCAAAGACTTGGAAAGTCATAGGCCAGGCAGAATTAGTAAAGCAAGAGAAAACTGTAGTTATGTTGTTTACTTACATACACACAAGGTATTTGATCATTTCAATAATCTTAACAGTATAATGATGATGCTTAATTGGAAACAACCTCATTACATAATGCTGAAGAGGTCTTGTGTGAAACAAGCAGGTTGAGGAGTCCACAGATTTCACCAACAAAAGTTACCTTCTAGCATATGTAAGATTTACAATTTATGAGATTTAAGCAAACCTTTCCTGTTGCAAAGCACTGCCTGAAACCGGCAAAGGGCAAGATATATTTAACAGGTTGTTTTCATATCTGGAAACAACCTTTTGTCTGTTTTGGGAGAACTGTGTAGGCACCTGACTGATGGTACCCCTCAATGGTTGACTTGTAAAGAGAAAGTCCTGACATATGTTGTCACAACTTACTGCTTTATTCACAGAGGGGTACTGGCTGCAAAAACTCTTGGAATCGAAATAAGTTTTGGATGATGCTACAAAAATGGTTAACTTTATCCAACCAAGACCAGTTCACCCCAGAATGTTTCAAAAACTGCGTGAAAATCTGGACAAAGAACACAGAAATCTGGTGGCTTAGAGAGGAAGAATTCTCAACAGGATGTTAGAGCTGAAAAGTGAGTTCTGGGAGTACATTCAAGAAAATAGTAGGCCAGATTTTGCAAAGTGCTTTGAAGATGAAGAATGGGTGGAGATACTAGCCTAGTTAGCAGATATTTTTCATCACATGAACCAGTTGAACAAGTCTCTGCAAGGCCCCAAAGAAAATGACTGACTTCAAGCGACAAGATTTTTAATTTAAATCTTCATTGAAGATGAAATCCAAGTGTGCTTATCTAAACTTTGATCCAGAATTAATTATTTGTGCAGTAAAAAACAAGCACAGATTTTACATTGAAGAAGTAAATTTCATTAGTTTCAAAAATAACCCTGTCTTGGCCGATATTTTTGTTCATATTGCTTTTTATCCTACTATTCAACATTGTGAATAATTTTTATGTTGTAAATAGCACTAATTAAGATCAGTCAGTGTAAATAGCACTATTATTTACATTAAATCCAGGGTCTACCCATATAATAATTTTAATGCAGCATTCTAAGACTTGAGAATTGTTTCAAGGTAAAAAGGTTAAGAAAGCCTGGATTAAAGTGTTAGACAGTGACATAGAACTGGGTTCTAGTCGCCACTTAGCCCTATTGGGTGACTTTGTAACTCATTAACACTCAGTCTAACCTACTTCACAGGTTTCTTTAAGGATAAAATGGTGAAGAAGTGGATGACTGTGTAAGATCCCTTGGGTGCCTTTTGCAAGATGCAAAGGGACAGTATGTAAATATAGCAATAAGCAAAAGAATTAGAATAATCAGATTAATCATCATGATTTTCACAGAACATTGCCAGAATTCATCAAGAACAATATTGGAATGAAATTGCTATTTTCTGCAACTAAGAACCTCTTTATCTCATACTTACGTTAGCAGGGATGGGGGCTAGCCATAGAAATGACTAGTTGGCGTAGCAGTGCTGAACATCTTAATTGTGTTGGCATAACTGAGAAATGATGGCTAATGGTTCTTGGAAGCTGGGCCCCAACATGTGATTTAGCAAAAATATTTTCATTAAAAAAGAATATCAAGAAACTTTCATTAATCAACAGTTACACAGTTCTATGTGACATTTCTTGGCAGGATGATGGCATATACACTGAGAGGAAGCAGAGTTAAGTATGTCTGTATAAAGCTGAGGTGATTTACCAGGACAGACACATGGAGTGGTTACATCTCACATTGCTGAGAATGTAAGCTAGAGCTTTGGTCCTTGTGGATGTATTTATTGACAGTTCAGTGAAGAATTTGAAGTCTCTGCCTCTCCATATTCCAACTTTGTCTTGTATTTGCGATATTTGTTTTCTAGATTCCTATGTTATTTTGGTTAGGTTCCTAGTTATATTACAATTAAAACAGATTAGATTGCCAAGATGGCAGTCCAACTTTCTATTGGCATGCATGAAAACCTGTTTAGTGACCAGGAATTGCAAGGAGATGTCTCGCAGGGCAATCCTAGATAGATTTACCTGGGAATAGGTTTTAAGTGGAGTCCATGGAGCTTGCTTCTGAGTAAACATGTATAGGATTTTGCACTCAGGATCTGTACTCACTAGTATTGGCTGAATGGAGAGGCCTTACAAATGTGTTTGCCTTGTGACAGGTTCCTCATGGTTAAAGTGTTTTGCTAAAGTCAACAGTTTCTTACAATGCTGGCCAAAGTTTTCTGCAAACCCAGCCATTGATCCACCATACAGACCTCAATTCATTTTTTTCATATATGGACATCACTGAAGGGATACCTGTGTTTTGTTGTGTGCAAAAAGCTCCCCACAAAGCATCAAACAGGGTTTGATCTTTGGCAACCAAGTGGCTTCTCATGGTAACCATTCCCCCCATGATCTCATTTCTGAACTTAGCAGAGATTGAGCCCTTTTTTATATTTTGTGGGGCTGATTCCTCTTCAAGGATTTCCATGACAAATGTTCAGCAATAGGTAGCTGAATGGTCTAAAACACCTAGCTAAGAATTTATTTTCTACATCCGCTCTTTATCACAAATGCAGTCACTGATTCTAAAGCAGACTGTCCTAAATGGAGAGGATGTTATCACTGTTAGACATCCCTGCCCTTGGGAGAATAGGCGGCTAGAGCACACACACACACCCTTCCTGAATTCCCAAAGCACTCCATGGTTGCTCATGCACACATCACATTCTAGGCAATAATCCTGGTAACGGAGCGAAGCATGCAGGACCTTGCATCCTGCTAATGCATATCAAGGTTCTGCTGGAGGACTTGCTGGCGGCCTGTCCCAGGAGCTGCTGTGAAAGAAGGCTGAGTCTTGCCTTTTCTTCTGAAGCACCTGCAGAAACTGGGGGGGGGGGGGGCAACTGCATTTAGAAACTGGGTCTCCAATTTAGCCCTTGCTATGTCTCAGACACAATCATGAGTGAACTGGGTTAAGAGGCAACTGTTCTCCTGCCATGATCAATTTGTTGCAGAGAAGAGATGAAGGCAAAGGAATACGTGTGCCCTTCACTCCCTCCCCCATAGTAAGAATACCCTATCCGCACCAGTTGTGGGGATATACTTAAGTATAATTGTTGCATTAAAAGGTACATGCATATTACCAACATTCAGATTGTCACCAGATCTTTAACTTACTCTCAAGGCCATGGTTTAACCCCTGCATTTATGACAGAATAAAGGTTATGGAACTCCCTTCCTAGAGGGGTTCCACTGGCTCTCCCTCTTGTAAGTTGCTATAAGACCCTTTTTATTTCCCTTCAGCTTTGTGATTTAAACTTTTGTTTCCCTCTCTTTATGCTAAACTGTTTTCTCCTGTTTATCATATGAAATAGGTTTTAAAGAACTGTTTTAACTGTATTTTATAACTATTTCCAGAAGAAAACATTTTGCTGCAGATAGCAAGTTTGTCAGTTGCAGGAAAAACTTTAAAAACTTAACTTGTGATTATTGCAAAACTTTGTTTAGCTCTCGGGATGTTTGTCTGGATTGACAACAATTGATTTGTGATTAATCACCGTTAATAACATGATTGTCAGGATCTGTACTTTCAGCATATCATTTACCTCTGACCTCACTCTTTAGAATCTCTCCCACATAGTTCATATGATCATAGCAGTGCACCCCAAATTATTTAACCTTAAAGCAACAAAACATACCCTTGTTGAGGGTTAACTATTGAAAATAAAATAGCCACCAGCATATGCTGCAACCTTGCATGACTTCAATAAGACATGTAGGGATCATGCAAACAAGATACATGTGCATCATGGAGCTGAAGTGTGCTATCACCCACAGAAGCCTATGACCAAATACATTTCTTAGTCTTCACAGGGCTATTTTTATTGTTTGCATATTCTACAAATATTTGTCAGCAGCTTTGTTTAAGCAGAGGACTATTAAAGAAAAGCAGAGGCCTATATGGAACAAATATTTTAAAATGGCAGTGTTCTTAACTAAGCAACTCCTGAAAAGTGAAGTTAAGCAGTGGTTAATTCCTAAAAATACAAAGAGGTAGTTTTCCACAGTTCACACTGCAGTATTTTACAGTAAAATCCTAAACACATGTACTTTGAATCCAGTTCAGTGAAAACTCCCATGAAAGTGTGTCAGACTGTAGCCTTAAGGGACTGCTGGGAGTTACAGGATTTTTTTCTATCTTACCAAGCACAGGGACGCTCCTTTCGCCAATGGGATCTCTTACTTCCACCGGAGCATTACTTGTGTGTGCCTATGTAAACTTGATATTCAACTTCAGTTTTAACCATAACATTTCCAAAAATCAGTCTATACACAAATCTCCCCAAAGCCCCAAAACAATACCAGAAAATACTGGAAGATACCATCTGATACAGCAATTCTAATCTAATATTCAGTCCTTGCGCCTGCCAGATCAAGGAACGTTCTCTTTCTCTGAAACCAAGGTGATATGTGCGCTTTTCTCCATTTTTGCCAACTCTTCATTTTGCCTGGATACCATATTCGTTTTCCAGTTCGAGGGACTCCACGCAGTTCCAGGGGTGGAAGGCGAGCACTTCCGCGTAGAAGCGGTCTGGGAACGCGCCACCCTTTTCCCCCAAACCCACCCGACTAACGTCTTTCGCTTCCCCGAAAGAGTTGCAGACGCCCCGCAAAGACGATGGCCGAGCTGTCGGTGCAAGTAGCCAGCAGGGCCTCTTCCCAGATTAATACCAGGCACCCTCTGGCCGCGCCTCCCCTTTCGGAGGCGGTTCCGGACAAATCCACTCGCCGCGCTGAGCATAGAGATAGGAAAAAAAGGAGGATTAAACCCACCGTCTGGACACGAAACTTCCCGATTTCTTTTTCCCCAAGTGAGGCGCGGGGCCGAAAAGACTGTGTCGCCCATAGAATACAATGGAGCAATTCAGACTTTTAGTGGCGTGTCCGCTTAAAAACAAAAGATAGCGGCAAAGCGTTTCTTAACTCAGGAAAGAATTTGGGAAAAGTTTCCATAAGCAAAGCATGATTTAAAAAAAACTTTTAAAAGAACGTTAGAACTTTTTAAACGGCTTTTCCTAACTGGGTGGCTTCCGGGTAAGATGGACTAGAACTTCCAGCGTGCCCAGCGTATCGGGCAGAAACCAGGTTGGAACTGAACGACTTCTGCCGATACGATCAGCTGTCCCCAAAAATCCCCGCTTAAGCTAAGCGAGGATGGGGTGTCTGCAAACTAAGCCCTGCTCTGCTGACAAGGACGGGGCAGGCGCAGATACGGCTGAGCCCCGGTCGCTTTTCCAGCCAAAGGCCTCCTAATCAAAGCACCCCTCGAGTTGCCGCAAGGCCTGTCTGCCCTCACATCCCACCCAAAACTAAGTCCAGTCCCCTGATAACTTGTATGTAGGCAAGCTGGGTCTATGCACGTTTTGAACCTCCGCTGTCACTTTCCTTCTCCAAAGTATAATTATTTTTATACCACCCTAAAAACACAAAAAACAAGAATTCCTATTTTGAAGTTACCGTTGCCTATATTCGGGGTAGGGGGGAGGTGCAGCTGCTCAGAAAGGGCTATGCTACAATCCCACGTTGCTCCTTTTTTTCCCAAAAGGCAGCTCCCACTTCCGCCCCGAGGGAAAAAAAATGGGTCTCAAGGTCCCCGGAAGTGGACGCCTTGTGCAGGTCCTTTCGGCATCCACGCCGGGGGTTAGTGCGGGATGCGCAGCCAAGCACGCCGCAGGAGCGCTTCTTCTTTGGCGCAGCCCGGGGAGGTTCTGCGTGAAGCAAGCAGGTAACGGTAGCGCTTATTCCTGGGCATGGTGTAAGGCAGGGGCGTTACTAGGTTGCAAAATGATCCAAGGCTCAGGCCCATAGGACCAAAAAAGGGGGGGGGCACAAAATTTCATATGCTAATTTACATGCGCTGCTATATAAGCATAGCTAGAAATAATCACTATGGCCTTAATTTTTATAGAAGCCAAGCTCATTAACTTCTTGCTTGCTTTCAGGACTGAATTGTACAAGGTCCCAAACTGTTTGCTGAAAACATCCCCTCCATTCATCCAAACTTTTCCTTGGTCTTTCAGGCCCATATCCAGATGGGGAGGATTAAATGTCTGGGACCAGCAAAGAGCTGCATGACATCTTAAGCGCTTGCTGATTTATTGCAAACTGGGCATGACCTACTGGCGGTTGATGGCAAAAGAAGAAAGGGACAGCAGAGAATGAGGTGGCTAGATGGAGTCACTGAAGCAGTCGGTGTGAGCTTAAGTGGACTCCAGGGGATGGTGGAGGACAGGAAGGCCTGGAGGAATGTTGTCCATGGGGCCGCTATGGGTTGGACACGACTTCGTGACTAACAACAACATTTATATAAAGCCCTTCTTTTCACTTGATTGCTTTCAAATTATGAAACTAACAATCTCCAGGTTTCTCTCCAGATCCGGTTATTGGAATTATATTTAGAGTGATAAGGCAGGTAGCATTTCTAAGTATATTGGCTAAGGAATAAGACTCCAATCATGCATTTATCTGGGAGCATTGAAGTCAGTACATCGTATTTCTGAATGAAAACATTTCAGATTACACAGTAAGTTTGATGTAATCCTGAATATTTTCCCCATCCACAGGTCTCCTTGTATGTCTCCCGCCCCATAGTTCTTAACCCTTCTCAGATACTTTTTTCTGTCTCATGCTTATACAGCCATGTCCAAGACTCCTCCCCCCACCAACAAAAAAGAATATTTTGCTGCCCAAAAAAGGAGCAAATGGCATCTCCCTTGCTCCACTTGCAGCCAAAATATATAACAGTACTCAAAGCCAGTCAAGTTGCTTTGACCCCTGGGGCAGAATATCCTACAAGCATCTGTTCCCTTCTCTGGCAGTGGAAATACAATAGTAGTAAATTAAATAATGAATAACTTGCTGCTTTTTCATGACATCCAAGATCAACTGTCTTAGGCAGCTGTCTTCATGTGTGTGTGTGTAAAGGACCATGTCTCCAAAGGGCATCACTATTTGTTGAAAAGAGTTTATGAACAGGGGAGAAGAGGGCATTTGATTCAGTCAACTCCTGTCCTCCTCCCTTTCTTTAGCCTTGTGCAAGCCCCTGATACCAAGGAGAACCAAGCACCCACCAGAATCTGGTCACACAGGTCACACAAAACGCAGGTGCACTCCAGAAAGATGACCGCAGATCAGAGGAACTCCAGATACACTCAAGCAAGCCTTGCCCCAAATTCAGACATTGCTGCTTATTCAGACTTTTTTTGCAAGCAAACCCACTTCTATTTTCCTCCAAGAAAAAAGGATCTGGGCCAGCCTTGAAAATAGCAAAGATGAGGAGGACCTCCAGAATTCCATCTTATATGTGAGCAGCCAGTGCATCTGCTTTTCTTCTTGTCAGGGCTTTGCTACAGTGGTTCAGGACACAAGTTCACAGAGTAAGGTACACTGAGGAAATGTGGAGTTGGCCCAAACAAAACTAATGAGCAGACTGTTAAGGGAAAGGTGGTAGTCTGCCACCTAGTTTAAAAAGACAGTGCCTTGATGCCCCCATCAGCTAAGGTGTTTTTTTTTAACTGATTTTATTTAGCTGCTCTTAATTTTTTGTTTAAAATGTTTGTGTATTTGATAAGATTCCATGGCACATTGTTAGAATGTTTTTATGAACGCTTGTAAACTTCCCAGAAAACATTGGCTATTGGATATTGTAGAGATGAAATAAATAAAATATAAGTGAATCCTAGGATCTCCTAATAATGACAACCCTGCTGAATTCAGAAGGAAGAAACAGACATGTATTAAGGGAGGTGATAGCAACTGGGGCAGTTGGAAAAGTCAGGCTCTGTGCCTAGGGGAGGCAGCAACCAAGACAGCCTATGGATGGCAGAGTGGTGGGTCAGATGGCCTCCCAATGATTTGGGGCGCCAAATGGAAGCTTCAAGGCTCCAGCCTTACACTGCCACCAATTTGCCTGCAGGAAGCACAGCCTTCTCCTGAGCTGGGGTCCTCCAGATAGGTTGGACTACAGCTTATATCATCCTGGGGATGCTGGCTGGGAATAATGTGTAGTCCCAAATATCTAGGAGACACTAAAGCACGAAAGGCTGCTTTGGAGTAAGTATTCAAGAATCATTGATGGACAGGCTTGCTACCAAAAATGGCTCTCAAGCTGACTACAACCACACAGTCAGGGTGCTTAAAAGATAGAAAGGGGGAGCCAGCAATGTTCTCATCCTACCCAATATGCATGCATTCTGAAGGCTGTTTTTTTGTGAAAGGCTAATGTCAGGATTGATACAGTCGTGTCTTTTTTTACCTGTACAAAAATGTGCAAAAGAGAAAGCTTCATTGAGCTTACAGTGCTGTACTTACTGAAATGCTGTATTCTTTGAAACTCGGGTACTCACATTGACGTATTGTTCTGTTGATTATTTAACCTTGTTTTCATTCTGTTTAGTATATGAAAATAGAGACTGTTCCAGATGGTAGGCATTGCTTTGATCAGTTTAGTTAATAGGATCAAAGAGGAAGTCTTCTTGAAAATAGCTAAAGCTGCATTCTCCTGCACACTTACCTGGCAGGAAGCCCCATGAAAGTCTTTGGGGCTTACTTCCAAGTAGACCTGCATAGGATTGTGTGGGATCAGGAAAAGGTCAAAAAGGAAACCAGATTCCTTCTTAAAGAGTCTTGTTAACATATGGTATAACACTGATAAAATATTCAGGTAGAATACATGTATAATTAAGTTGAATCAGCATGATCAGGCTTAACTTATTGGAGGCACTGTTTTGCATAAATAGGCTCTAGAACATGGGTCCTCAAACTACAGCCCACGGGCTGGATCCGCCCCACCATGCCCATTTGGACCCGCCGTGCGTGCGCCCGCCTCGCTGTGCATGCCTGCTCCCCTGCCTCGCCTTGCCTCCCCACGCACCCCACCCCCACCTCAGCACATGCGCCCGCACGCACGCACCGCCACCCCCCCAGCCCCTTCGCCGGCCCGTGCACACTGCTGGCACCACCTTTCTGGCCCACGTCCAGCACGGGCACCTTTCAGCTGGCCCCCTGGTGAACAAGTTTGAGGACCCCTGCTCTAGAACCTTCGGATTGCAAGCAAGTCGTAGTGACCAAGATAATTCACTCTTCTCCTATAAACACATGTGTGGAATGAAGCAGGTAAAGGTCAAACTATGAATTATGCAGCAAGGTAGGGGAAAGCAGAATGTAGATTTCTGGATGGTTTGCAGTGGAACTACAAAGGTTTATGATTCAGTGCCAGTGGCTTAACAGCATTGGCAAAAATCTTTGTGGGCAGAGCAACAATCTGCAGTAGATTACAGGCATCTCTGCAGGGCCGGAGGGATGCAGAGGTGAAGGTCATCTCCTTGCTTCTCCTGCTCTGCAATGCAACTAAACAGCCAGTTTCAGCTGTCTAATGCTGCACTTTGGAGGAGAAGAGAATGCAGCTGAGGAGCCACCAGGACACTTTGTATCTTGGTGTTGCTGGGCTTCCCCCTCCCTCAGGAACACCCCCTAAGCCCCTACTCCAAAGTGGCGTTTGCAGCCCTGGGGAAGCAACCAGTGCTGTTCTCCCACTCCCACCATTATTGCGTTGGGGCTGAGCCAAGCATTTGAAAGTTGTATCCTGATTGTAGATTTGTATCCAATTGCCTTCTGGCATCTTGGTGTTCAAATGAAATATTTTCTTGCAAACAAGCCTACAAACAGAAAATGCCAATTTTTCAACTTTTTCTCCCAAAGCAGTGTAATCACAGTGTAATCCAATAATTTAACATATATGTTTTAATAGTCTTTGCTTAAGCTTGTAAGGTATTACAGATGACCATCAAGTTTTTCAGAAAATGATTTGTTATTTCTTGTACCCTCCTTCAAATCAATGCTTCATGGAACGGAGGTAGTGCTCTGTCTGGTCTAATTAGGGTTAGCATTGGGTTCTGAAGTTCAGGAAGTCAACGGAGCATCACTTTTGGTACTGTGATGTAGTGACAGATCCCCAGAGCCTTTTCCCCAAAGAGAGTCCAAACACAGGCAGCTGTGTTGATCCACATCAAGGCATTCTTGCAGTATTCATCTCCACCAAGAGCAGGCCTTTTGTAAAGCTAATAGGTTTTAAGTTGCCATTCAAGATAAAGCCACCCCAGATTGCTTTGCCTAACAACAGGGACTGCACTGCTGGGAAAATTCATTCCCCCACTTCCCATCCCAGAAATATGGCAAGCATAGCTAAGCTCAGAGGAAAGAGAGAATTCTGAGGGCTGGCAGATGATGCCCAGTCTCTGCTAATAATAGGGTGCCATTGCGTGTCATTGGGAGCCTGGATCTGCGACAGCACTGCCTTTACCCAGGCCTTTTGCTTCTGTGCTCTTCCTTGCTTAAAACTGCTCTATGAATTGAGAGGCTTCTGTTCCTTTCACTTTCCTGCTTTATTTTGCTTCTGGTTAACCTAGGGAGGGATGAACAAACAGCCTTTTCCCCTTATGATTCAAGAAGTCTTGTCAGAGTAAAGCTTGGACATGTTAGTTGATATAATTTGATCCAAAAGGACTTTGGATTCCTCATTGTGCTCTGCCACCCATCAGTAATTCTGGTAAGCACCAGAATTGTATAAATGTCAAAGAAGTATTGGTTTGTTCCCCCGCTCCTGCCTCTGTGTGGGGGAGTGGGGTGGGGAGCAACAGCAGCTGTCACATGAAAAGGGGAAGGAAAGCCCGCAGTCTTGGGCTGCGAAGAATGGAGCATGATGTATGGTTAAGAATTACTGTGCAC